ATAATAATAATAATAATAATAATAATAATAATAAAATTGAAAAATAATAATGATCCCTGACCCAGGCCTGGGTCAGGGCTCAACAGATTTGGTTTGGCCCAAGAAGTTGAATGGGAGAGGTCTTGGGGCCTGGCCTGGTCAATTTGACCAGGTCAACCCTTTGACCTAAGAGTCTGGGGAAAAAGTGGGTCAACAAACGGACCCCTAACAGGAGCGGTGAACAAACTAGTTAACTGCTCATGTTGGCGTTGACTAAATGTGACAAGCAAAGTATAGTAAGACACACAAGTAAAAGAGTACCAAAAAGGTGAAAGAAAGTAGGGAGCTCTTCTCCTACCATTATCCTATATCAAGGGCAGAGCCTAGGAGAGAGTGAAGAGCAACAGATCACAAAAAGGTGAAAAAAAAAAGTAGTGGGGTCCACCCCCGGCCTTACCCTATAATAAGGGCAGAGCCTAGGTGAGAATCAAAAAGTAAAGTTGTAAAATAAAAGGTCACCGAATGATGAGTAAGTACTAGGGTCCTTTCCTGGCCTTACCTATAGCAAAGGCAGAGCCGAGAGAAGAACTAAAGTAAAGTAGTAGAGTAGACCAACTATTACCTGATCTTATCAAAATAGCATGATAGAAGGTAAAAAGGGGTGGTGAGGAATGCCTTCTAGGGGCTTTATTAAGCTCTCTCAACAAGGTAATTCTCTACATCTGCCTTGCCATTTCATCTTAGCAAACATAGATGGGCTCAATACTCACGTGGACATTTCAATCGAGTGAATAAAGAGTTGGAGTTTGTAGCACGAGCAGATGCGTACGATGTGTAGAGATCTCTACATAATGGGTCCTCCCAGTGGACCCTTCAGATTTCATGCCATTAATAGGAATGGCGACTCCATTACAGTAGCTGCAAGAAACTGTAGCCCACCAAACTAGATGGTGGCGCCAGTATTTCTAGTATTTATTACAACATTGGCTAGGAGGATGTTTGCCCCATATCTATGCTTCATAATAAAATGAGTATTTTGAAGATCCATTGAGCACAAATGAAAGATGGGGATGAGTATTCAAAGTTTTGATAGATTACCCCACACTTTCAAAATGCAGAGACTTAATAAAATAAAATAACAAAAAAAAAAGATAAGCATGTTCTTTTAGCAACTATAGATTGTACTTTATGATGTTTAATTTACTATTATAGCTTATATGTGATTAGCCAAAGATAAAAAGAGAGACCTATCCCTAGCAGAGTCATTATAAATATGTGGGCTTCAAAAATTTTGGCCCTGACCTCCTCTGCGTTGGAGAGTTTTAACGATGTTTAGGGTCAAGTGTTAAGAAGGAAGATTAACTTTGGGATACAGCACTACCTAAAGATTTTTCCCTCATTTTGTGAGGACTTTATAATCTGGTTCTATGTTTCTTATAGGCACAAGCACCTATGGTTAATTACCTCTCCCATAACGAGATAACACTTTTGATTAAGGCTAGTCATTAAATAGGTATAAAATACCTAGCATATAGTAGC